CCATGATCTCAGCCGCGGGCGCCGCGACGCCAGGCGTCGGCCCCGTTCAACGGGGCATCAAACGCAGCATCTCCGACGTCTGCTACGGCGACGACGGTAATAATCCACGGCAGCTCTCGCAGGGCATCCCCGCCGGCGGCATGCCCGGCGACTGCGTCCCCGACAATCTCGACGAGTCTTTCACCAGTCTAGGCCAGCCGAAGAAATCACCCCCCTCGAACGGCAAGAAGACTAAGGGCCGGGTGAAAATTAAGATGGAGTACATCGACAATAAACTCCGGAGATACACCACGTTCTCCAAGAGGAAGACTGGCATTATGAAGAAGGTTTGTATCGTACGACGCAAACCTGATGTAATTGCACGGCGGAGTACCGGCTTCCCGCTCTCTGTTACGTTACGCGCGAAGGGCGCAGTGACTCGACTCACTCGACACAGCGTCGTCTACCTCTTTCGCGTCTTGCTACTTCAAGTGCTCCGAGAGAGGGAGAGAAAGAGAAAACAAAAAGAGAATGTGCGTGTGAGTGTGTGTATGTGTGTGTGTGTCTGTGTGTGTGTGTGTGTGTGTGTGTGTGTATGCGCGCGCGTCAAACTCTGTGAAAATAGTACCCACGTCGACGAGACTCGGAGCAAACCGGAGTACGATGTCTCACGTGCGTTTTCTCTCCGATTGTCGCGACGACAGCGACGGGATGCTGCGCGAGGGCTCCAGCGCGTGCGCGCTCGCGCCCGCGATTTACGATTGAGTGACAGTACTTCTTCCGCGGCTATTACATGCTTTTGCTAAAGGGGGCCGGTTGCTTGCATTTGAGGCTGCCAGTTAGCGTTCACTGCGATTAACTTTTTGTGTGCCGCGAAACTGTAATCCAAATCTCTCCCAATTCCTTCATCTTTTTTTTTTATTGGAGACGAAGAGGATAATACGATTGAATCTCAACCGAAACTGCACTGCCCAATCTTGTCACTGTATCTCGAATCAGCGAAATTGATTGCTGTTTTTACCGATAAATAATATCGGATATTATATAAATGAATTCAGGTGAATACAAGTAAATAAAAAAAAAACGGTAAAGTTAATTTATCATGAATTTCTATAATCGGAAGTAAACAGAGATTTTTACGTATTTCTATAATATTGATACCTGGACGCATTTCGTATAATTTAAATTTTCTAAATATTTATGACGAAAATTTTACTTCATTTAAAAAAAAGTCTTTTCATCGGCGTTCTTACGTAAATCTCGCGAGCGAGAATTAAAGTTGGTTGGTCCCATCAAAATTGTGGCAACGTACAAATTTTTTAATAATTATTAGAACTATCTTTTATTTTTGTCGCAATCTCAATAAAATATGTCCTTTTTCTTCTCTATTGTACTATCCTAACAAATTTTTTATAATTTTTTATTTCTTTGTTAACTATTGTCTCACATACTTTTCTACAATTTAATACAATTAAACTACATTTCTCTACACTTTAATAATATAATTTTCTTTTACTAATGTTTTGGTATTTAAAATCAAATATTAATTCAGCTCGAATTACTATTCGTTGTCGAAATCAATGTGTGTATAGATAATGAAAATTGCTCCTATTTTTTTACTCAAATTAAAAAATATGCAAATATATTTTATAAGCGCACGAAACATAAAGAAATGTCAGACAACCACCGTGTTTTAAAATTTTTTAATTTTATGTGTCAAAATTACAATAATTAAATACATTGCTATTAAATCGTTACTAAATTTGTTACTAAATCGATCACTAAACATTTTAGATAATAATATCGTTCGAAGATATCTGGCCTAAAAATGGCCTAAAAAATTATAAATATAAAAGGTTGAGATCGCGGAGCGTTGTTCCTTAAAAAAAAAAAGAGTAATATTTTTAAACTAACCTCTTTTTTCTCTCTTTCTCTATCTCTTTTTGTAATATATGTATTTTTCAAGTGAATAGATTTAAATAAAATTGGCTGTTTGTACAGAAAGGCGACTGTTAATTCTGAACTGCGTTCTCTCTTTTTCCCTCGCCTTCCAATTTGTTACTTTATCCTTATTACTTGAATTTATGTTCTTTACTATTTTAAACAAATATCTCTTTCTTTACTAAAAAGAAACTTGTTATAAGCGTGATATAATAAATTGTGAAACTATTTAATATTTTTTTATTTGTAGAATCTAATATTGTTATAATCTAGAAATCGTTTATAAACAATTTGGATGTGTCGAAATTACACATGTTAATTTATCGATTTATTAATGTAATTTGCATTAAAAGATGCTTGAAGAAATAATTTTGCATTCCTTGTTTTGATTATTTTTTATGAGATGTTGAGTTGCCAATTAAAAAAATAAATTACATTATGAAGAATATATGTTAAAGATACAATTGTACTATAAATAAAATTTAAAATGTTGGGATAATATCAACAGAAACGCTAAGATATGTAAAATGATATTGTGTGTGTTTGGGCAAGAATTTTGAATTAAATTGATTCACATCGTCGGAAATGATTAAATTTATGATCTCATGTTTAATTAAAGACACGCGTTTGGAACTGTATTTACAAAGAACGTGCATAATTAATGAGGTACATATATAAAAAACGATGAATAACTATTGACTAAGTAATACTTTTTATTTAACTTTTAGATTTTAATTAGGTACTCATATTAAAACGTGTGTACACATTTTTAATTATTTTAGAAATTATCTGAATTGGGTTTTAATAAAGAAACCGTTAAACGACTTATCTTATCTTTCTCGAAAAGAAATTTGAATTTCAGCTTTCACATATTTCGCAAAACGTTTTAAAAGCAAAGAAAATAATAGGCACATTGTTGCATACATAAATACAGATATACGCATTATACCACATACTTGAGACACGTTAGTGTTAATATATATTCACCATATCCTTGAAATTTAATTACGATACTGAGATTATAATCTCCTAATGTTACGAGCAATTTAATTTCGTCACCTATTAAACTGATATCATGCTTTATGATGGGAATTTCTGGCATAAAGATATTAAAATTCTTACCAAAATTTAAAGAACTGTTTGGAAAAGAAATACAGTCATAAAAAATCAGCAGTTTATAATACATTTAATATATCATATTAATACATAAATAATATATAAATACATTTAATATATCATAAAGAGCAGGAAAAGAATATTGCTGCTCTTCATGATATATTAAAAAAATATATTTAAAAACCATTGATTGATTTTATTCTTATAAACATTTATAAGTACTAAATATCAGCGTTGCAAAATCACGTATGTAGATGTAAAAGCTTTATACTTTATAGGATATACAATATATATATCGTATTACTTTTAAAAAATTTATCTGATAATCATGCGATGTCATCTAAATGACATGCAACATGATTACGTTTTCGTTACTCACGTTTATATTGTTTCTCAAAATTATTTTGGATCATTAATACTTAAAATTCTATTTAAAAAGAAAAATATATTTTAATATTTCGCGAGTCGAATATCAGCATGAAATATTACAACAGTTTATCGTAATGACAGTAAAACGTATCACGCAAAAAGAATATCTCACGCAACGAAGTAGATTATCATAAAAGCAGATCACGTTTACAATACATTAGTAAAATAAATATCCTTGTGCTTTATCTAATTTTTTATTAGAAATCTTTAAGTAAGGAATTGAACATTATCCATTTGATCCGCTATATTTTTGAAGATCTGTGTAAGATAGAATGAGATATCCACGCATCTCATTCTATCTTAAGTAGATTCTAAAAAATATAACGTACCAATCAGAAGTTGTCTAAACGGTGTTTAATCTCTTGAGAATCTCTATAGCCTTTTATACAAGAGGGAGAACCTGAATGAGCGGGTTCAATAAACAAGTAACAACAGAAAATATCTAAACGTAAAATAAGTAAATCCGTTTGTCGGAGAATTAACGAGTTGTCGATGTCGTATTTGCAGGCGTACGAGCTGTCGACGCTGACCGGTACGCAAGTGATGTTACTGGTGGCGAGCGAGACCGGCCATGTGTACACGTTCGCGACGCGCAAACTGCAACCAATGATCACGAGCGATGCCGGGAAGGCGTTAATCCAGACGTGTCTCAACAGTCCGGACCCACCGCCGTCGGGTTCGTCGGGCGACCAGAGGATGTCAGCGACCGGGTTCGAGGAGACCGAGCTGACGTACAACATCGCCGACGACGAGCAGAAAGTAAGGCAACTGGTGTACGGCTCGCCGCACGGTGGCTCGCTGCACGCCGGCTATCCTGGTACCGGGCCCGGTAGCGGGCCAGCGGGCGGCCCGACCGCGGGGGCCCATCCGCCGCCACCGCCGCCGCCGGGCTCGCAGCACGCGCCACCCTCGCACGCGCAGCACGCGCACCTCATAGCGCATGCACACGCGGCGGCAGCCGCCGCCGCTTCGCCGAGCTCGCACCTCGTGCCGTGCTCGAGCCCAGGCCCGATGCTCGCCGGAGGCCCATACCAGCAATCATGCCCCTCACCCCTGCCGCCCCATCACGCCGCCTACCATCCCCATATGTCGCACTCGCACCCCCAACGGTAGTACGCGCTCGCCGCTCGTCGGCCCTTCGCGCTCCATCCCCCCTTCCCGCCGCATTTCACGTTTTAGGATGTTACAAATTGCTAAAAAGGAAGCATCGCGTCGCGAACATTCGCGATGCTGATGTTACCGAGACGCGTCAAATTGCTGTGAGTCTTCGTGTAGTACATATTCGGAAGAGAGAGATTTATTTCGTGTTGATGCTCGTGGATTCGGTTTGATAGTGAGATAGAGCAACGCGAGCAGTAACGGTTATTGTTATTCGCAAGAAAATTTGTGCAATTTAGATATCGTGACGTCCGTAAAACATTATGCGGTGCGTGTTGGTCGAATTGTATCTCAATTTGAGCGCGAGTTAAAAAATGTTTAATTAACAGCGGTCTAATTTGGCGAATTTTAGAGCCCAGATTGTTACAAAATGAGATAAATTATCGTTTAGATGTCTGCGCGTAACATTTTTCATTTTTTTTTTAAATATGCTTCAACACCCTGCAAATTTTTGGTGCGTGTTTGGGTCATTTTTCACAATTAACTCTGCTTTCCTGAGAAATACGGCGTACAACTATTTTAGCATACGCCAACGCGAGGTCGCGCGCAGCTTGTAGATATACTGAAATAATTTCTCTTTGGGCACACCAACTGACGTAATTTCCCTTTAGACGATGTATTACTTGTATCGCGCCGGCGAGCGTGCCGTAGAGTCACGTATGGTATTTATTAAATTATATACGATGGGCGCGCAAAAGATTGTAGGCTTCCCTTGCGATCGAGTATTTTTCAACGTTTGGTCTTATATGTACTGAAAAAAAATTTACTGAATCTTAAAAGACATATTTCTTTGAATAGTACTAACTAAACATTTACTTCTAGTAAATAAATATTTACTCAAAATAAAAAAAATAATAGTTAAATCAAATGGTTTTTTTTATCAAATGAATACATATATATATATATATATATAAAATAAATATATATTTATTTAGTAAATATTTACTTAGAACTATTCAAACAAATATTTTTTTAATTTAATTTTTTTTTTTCAGTGTGACCATGCGATCGATTCCGCGCGCGCAAATCTAGTCCAATCTTTCGACACGTTTTTACTTAAATGTATATATTTAAATATATATCCACGCGTGTTACATACATATATGTTTGTAAATATATATATGTATATCGCCTTCTTATATATACACTATCTAAAAAGTTACCGAACTTTTTTTCTAGGTCATCTAAGGTTATCTTTTGAAATAGTGTGAAATGATTTCTATGAAACTTAATTTCTCGAACTCTATAGAGTTACGTTTCTCTGCGTTATATAATTTATTTATTGTGTCGTTAAAAGTGAGAGTTTTTTTTACATTTGTCAAGAAAAATGATAGAACAAAATATTGAACAGTGTTTATAAAAGATGTGTTTGATCATCTCTACTGTATTCGTTTTCATTCTTTTTCCAAAGTTAAAAAATGAAGTAGATATTCTAATACAATTTAAAAAATTGTAAAATGCAAAAGGTTTCGAATCAGGTTATCTTTTTCATTTTGAAAAAATGTACAATTTAAAACAATTGCTATAAAGACTCTATTATATTTCAGATGGGATATATTTTGAATAATTAATAAATAAAATTACAAAAATCACACAAGTAATGGAATTTTAAATAAAGTTCGAAAACTTTTGAGACAGATTGTATATATGTACATATTGGTGAAGCTCGATCAAATATTGCGTGCTTTGAATTTTGCGCTCTCGCGCGCGAAAGGGTGGAACGATGGAAGCGCGTTGTATCATTGAAATGTGAAAAACAGAGTGATTTCTATTTTGCAACGATTGCATAACGAAAGAATGCAAGTCCGCCGTCAGCGCTTTTAGGAACAAATCGTAGACGATTTGATCGTGATCGATGATCTCGGAAATCGATTGAGCGGATTATCGATGAGATAAGATGAGTGTCGTTCAATATCTATGGATAGATCTCCGTGATAGGCGAAGTCCAAAGCTCGGTATATTAGATGAAATACGGTAGTATTTGCATCAACGAGAGTCACCGTGCGATAGAAAGACATTGCGAGGAAAAATATCGTTATTATATATAATTAATGGATTAATTAATTAATTATTTTATAGATTACAAATATATATCGTAACATCGTGTGATCAATTACTCGGTGAAAATAATGATAGAATATCGAGTACTCCATTTAGTACTTGTTCGTCCAACAGCTCTCTGTTTTCTTTGTCTCTTTCGTTTTTTTTTGTTTACTTTTTTTATTTAACTTAAATATCATATTATTTATTGAGGAGGTCGACATTTTTTATTTATTAAACGAAAAAAGGCATATCGTTATTGTAAGCCGGTGTTGTTCGCAGCGTCGGTGTCGATACTCTTTATATCGTGTACTTTACATGCGTTGTAAAAAATACTCTTTCCGTCTCTCTTCACGAGGAAGATTCGAGGTACTTATTTATCTCTATTGATGATTTTATCGAGGAGAAAAAATCCTTGTTCGAAAAATCATGCGACAATGATTTTGATTCATCGAATCGGTGGTGTGAGTGCGAATTCGGCGGTGCACGCTTAATACTGTAACGCATCTCTTTTTTTTTATTGAGCATTGTTGTGTCTCGTCCATTGTTTCTTTTTTTTTATTGTTTGCCGTGTTACGTGTTGTGTATCGCAACTGGCATGTGTAGTTATTTGGATTGTCTTTTCTCGCAGAATAAGTAGCTAGTATTTAGATTACCTTTTAATTTAATCTACCCCCCTCTCCCCACAATCTCTCCTATATATCCCATATCAATCCCATTCATCGACATTGTGCATGCGTATGTATGTATGTATTATTTGCTGATATTCTGTATTATATATCGTGAGAAAGAGAACCGAGGAGAAGGCAAAGGTAAAAAGAGGAGCAAGGCCGGGAAGCGAGGGCCTTTAGGTTCCAATCAAATAGATATATAGAAACTGTAATCTACCGCGCGTCTCGACATGCAGAGAGTACAAATAATATTATAATAATATCGATTATGATTTTAACGATAATCTGCGAATAATGCGGCTCTTTCACATGATTAGTTTGTATTTTAGCATTTTTGTACATAGCATAGTAACTGTAGAAAATACTGTGATAATATTTATATATTTTTACGCCTGTGGAAACACACACACACAAATTTCACCTTCATCTTTGACAATATAGTCCCTGCGATCAAGTGACTTGATTTTCTGCTGATAGATTCTCATTGTGCACGATCTTACCGATGTCATATTTACTCTCGCGGGCCAGGTAGGTATTTCTCAAAATTTATAGTTTCTTCTGCGAATTCGTATTCATTTTTAACTGAAAAAAATTCTGTTGACTTATGCGAGATAAGCTTTAAATTTTCAAGTAAAAAAACGGAGAAATTTCAGAGGTAAGAATCTCATCAAAGTATGGAGAAGTATAAAAGAATATTTTTCACGAGACGAATATTTCTACGTACGAGAATTTTTTGTGTAATTATATGAGAAACTTTCGGTTATTATTGATAATTCTTTGAGAATTATTCTGACTTCTGAAATAATTCCACAGATATGTTCGCGTAAACTTCTTCAAGAAATACTTGGTTGAATCTCTCGTAAAAGATTCTGAATAGTAACGGAGATGTTACAATCTTATATTTCGCGTTTCGGCCACGGACCCGACATATGCCTATTTTTGACAATCTGGTTCGGGATATATTTAGAGGTCCAGAAACATTCCGCAGTATGTTAGGGATTCCTTTATTTCTAACGGTGCGTTAGGACTATCATGTATGTTATATCGAGAGTCGAATATTATTATTGCATGACAATAATCTGGAAAATGACAACGTCATTCAATGCACGGAGATGAGACGGAAGCGCAAGGTAGGTTGCGTTTCAATCAAAATAATACATTCGGTATATTTCTAATAGAAGCATTTGTCTATTACTTAATGTATCTTTTTTATCAATTAGCTAATAATAACAATACATGTGCACGAAGAATGTCGATAAGCAGTTTAACATGATTTCGATGATATCGCGTCTCGATTGAAGTCAAACATTAAGAAGCATCTTCGTGAAGATCGAGATCATTAAAAAAAAAGCCATCGCAATACAGCGAATAGCAGATACGTTGCATCTTTTACGCGCAATATGGATGCAGGTAATGTTTATCGCATGATGTTTTGTTAGTACATTAGACAGCGTTAATAGTAAGTAATAAATTTATAATTAATGCAGATTACGAATATTGTATCCCAAAATACAAAACGATGCGTTGAATGTCTCCATGATTTTATTTTATGTCAGTCGACATAACGCTTTATCCAGCTGTTCTGTCAAACTTACAAACGCGAGACGTAAGTTTATATTAAGTGCGTAGCTTGTAGACTATATCTGTCTTTTTTTTGCGTTTGTATAATTTTCGAGAGTAAAGTTGTGACTAACGAATGCCTGATGTCCGGTTAAAGGAAGCGGAAATAAAAGTTAAAGGATAAGAAACGTAAGTCAAGATGGCGTACGACGACATGCAGTTTATGGAGAGATCCTCATTCGATTGAATGCCATCCTGTCCGCCATGAGATCGTTCTTCATTTTGTTTTTCAAAGAAAAAAAAGTAACTGCAAGTATTAATTTACAAATTGTCAGAAATTTACGAATTGTCGGATTTTTTTTCGATCATGCTGATTCTTCGTCCATTTCTTGAGCTAGGAGGGTGCACCTTCTCAGGGTACCTTATTCGCAGATGGCGCTCGCGTATTCCTGGTACCGGAAATGGAGCTTTCGGTTACCCCGAGGGCAACGGATACTGTGAGGTCAAAGCACGGTTTATGATTTAATGGGCGTAACGATGCCTTTGAATGCCGTCTCATTCGTTCGTTTGTTCGTTCGTTTGTTCGTTCGTTTGTTCGTTCGCCAGGGTTGCAGACGAAGAAGACGCGCGTCCAGGTGTATCGCTTCACGCAGGAGAGAGAGAGAGAGAGGGGGGAGGGGAAAGCGAGGGAGGGAGAGAAAGAGAGAGGAATAGAGAACGGGCCTCGAGATGCCTCCGCGAGGGAGACTGAAAAAGAGGGAGAGAGAGGGAACGAGATCGCGCACTCACGCACGTACGCACGTACGCACGCACGAAAGGTGGAAGCGGAGTTCCATATACGGTCACCTTTGTCAAAGCCCGGTTGTCGCCATATACAGGCAATGTTCGCGATGGCAGACACTTATATAGAGCCCGAGTTAAGAGTCAGGAATGTTGCTTTTTGTCGCGCCTTCTCTACACATACACGCGCACCCTCCTGCCTGTTCCGCGGTAAACGGTGCGGGGTAGGAAAAGCGATGTGAGAAACGCACGGCGCGTAGACGGAAGCGAGAGAACGCGGCCGCCGCGACTTTTCGAGCTTTCCAATTGGTACCGCACTTTCTCGACTTCCCGCGGACGATTCGACGAGCATGTGATTCGCACACGCATTCCAGCCACAACGCTGGATAGAATGATGATCGGAGCAAAGACGAAAAACGTGTATTCTTCTTCAACTTGAGAGATCTTTAACAATAGAGTATACAGTAATATAACTGGGGAAATTAATTGGGAAAATGTTACTGGAAGCGAGGAGCCTAAAGATGTTGAATTTCTCATGATGAAGAGATTCTTTTGACTTTTGCTGTAAAAGAAGAATCGATCAGTTATAATATTTACAAATTTATTTATCGTTAGGATTTCTTTCACATTTACGTCAATTATAGCTGTTACAATGCCAGCTTTCACAAAAAAAAAACACAAATAAATTATGGTTGTCAACATTTAACCGGTAGAAACAGATGGAAGCTGAAATTTTAATATATTACTTGAAACAATAAGAAACATGCAAGATAAAGCTGGAGCATAGCTTTGCATAATATATTAAGTATAAGAGAATTGACCAATCAGAATCTTTCCTTTCCATTAAATGAAAAATTCTGATTGGTTGATTCTCTTATGGGCTTTCTACAATAACAGTCGAATGTGAAAAAAATAATTGACTATGAGAGAGATTGGTCAATTTCTTACGGCTTAAGACTTAAAACTTATGTAATGATTTATTATAGAAAGCCCAAAAAACTCTGATTGGTTGATTCTCTTATGCGTTATGCCAAGGTCTGTGCTCGTATTATACTCTTCCGCTTGTTGACGCCGCGCAAGCGGACTCCGCTATAACGAATCTCGTCGAGAAGCGGGACCGGGGAGAAAACGCCGGGGTGGGAAAGTCTCGCGCAAGAAGCGTTCTCCCGGCTTCGAGGGGTCGCGAGCGAATTCGCGAAGAGGATACCTCTTTTCCGCGGGTGCATCGCGCACACTCGCGCGAGTGGAGTCCGCGAGAGATGGCCATATAAGGAGCGCGAACAAGATGCTCGCGCATCTTTCTCTGCGTCCGCTAGGTAGGTAGGTAGGTTGGTAGGTAGGTAGGTAGGTAGGTAGATAGGTAGGTACACACGTTTGTTATATGTACGACGTACGTACGTATGTATCATTCGGTAGCGTATCTACGTTTCTCTATTTGCGTCGCTGTTGTCGTTCGGACTGAGAATGATCCTCTTTGCGAGAGAATGCGTACCCTCGCGTTATCCAACCGCTCCAATCCCACCCTCGCCTTGTCCCGCTGACGACGAATCGCATTCAAGGCGGATTCTCGATAACATCGCTCTTCTCTTTCTTGGTTTCAGGAGGACGGCGCGTCGCCCAGATCCGACGTCTGCGCCAACGAGAGCGACGGCGAGAGCAGCGACGGTGACTCTCCCGTCGTCCCTAAGGATCCTCTTAAGATTACCAATCACTCGGGTGAGTCTCGCCATAGGATCGCGAGGATCGCTGGGGGACGACTGTACTTGGATTAGAATTCGTGAAGCCTGGCTTCTCTCGTCCTCCCCTATGAGCCCTGGTACGCGTGGAATACTGTACGCTTTCTAAAATATTAAGGGCGGTATTTATAGTCCGTTATTATTTCAAGACTGTCTTAAGTAATGCTGTCTTAAGACGCTAATACGGCTCTCTGGCCGATATTCATAGGACGGAATCCATAGACGTTGCTCAAGATTCGAGATGGTCTTAAACTAGTGCATGAACCAATCAGAGGGCCGTATTAGCAGCTTAAGACATGCTTGAGATTAAGACCAGATTATGGATTCCGTCCATAGTCAGTTCTTATATTCAAGATCGTCTTAAGTTCTGTCTTGAGATGTCACGAATCAATCAGAGGCCGGTATTCATAGTCAGTTCTTATATTCAAGATCATCTCAAGTGTACCTCAGCCTTGAGGTGTTATGAACCAATAAGAGAGCCTCATTAGTGTATTAAGACATTACTTAGGACGGTCTTGAAATAAGAACCGACTATGAATACCGGCCAGAGAGCCATATTAGCGTCTTAAGACATTACTTAAGACGGTCTTGAAATAAGAAACGACTATAAATACTGGCCTCTTGGTTTGTGACTTCTTAAGACTGTACTTAAGACAGTCTTGAAATAATAACGGACTATAAATACCGGCCTAAGATACGACTCATATATAGCATTCGTCGCGTATACGAGAGCGAGAGTTTTTTTTAATTGTCTTTGTCCGAACTATTCGAACAGGATCAGACATCTATCGTCCAAAAGAGAGATATTCAAGATTTAAGAAGTTGAAGTCTCGATGAAGATAAATGGATATCCACAGAGTCTCTCCGATAGGAAAATTTAGTTTATGAAATTATACGATAAAGTCGTGCATAAAATTTATGCAATTATAGGTAATTATGTTTACAAAAATAGATGTAGAAATATTTATTTTTTTATAAAGTATTAGAATTGCAAAATTTTAAATAAAAAATTAAACGTTTTCGCGGAAATAATTATAAAATATTTATATTTAAAATTTGATTTGTTTAATGTTTTTACACAAATATTATTTAGAAATTTTATTCTGCCAAAACTACTGTCTTATAGGAAATCATCTTAGCAATTTTCGTTAACTCATGATGCTGATTTAATTTCATGTTTTTCTTGGATGTTTCATGTATACGTATTGAAGTTATGAAAAATTATACATTTTTTTTGTTTCGAATAATCGATATATTTGTCCAAAGATAGTAGGAAATTGTGGCGTCCTTGGAAATTAAACATGCGGAAAGAAAACGTAGATTAAGAATAGCATACTCGTATATTTGATTTGATCTCGTTAATTCGTGCATTTCCTTGAGTCAACAAGGTTTACAAATCTCCATAAGAGAAACGGAACACTTTTGAATATCGGTCGCGTTATTACAGAGTAAACCATATCATTCGTCACTACGCGGGCACGATTATTAGCGTTTGCGCAAGGTTCACTTGGATTAAGTTCTGCGGTTACGTCGATTTTCTGTCATTCACGGCCGCGATTATTCATGATACCTTTCGCTGTTCCACATGGAGAGATAGGCCTCCCACGTAATGGATTTTTTTTTATTCTCATGCAAACGTTTTGCAAATTGTTGGAAATTGCTAGGATGCATGTAAATGTAAGCTGCGTATGTTGACCGGAGGACAAACTTTTCATAGAACGATACCGTAGGTATATTATCGATCTTTCCTCTTTGCTAAAAGTAGAAACAGTTTTCGTGTCGAACTATCAAGATCGCGATTAAGACCGATCCGAGATTGCCGGATTGCGAAATCAGCGTGTCGAGGCAGCCGTCCTCCTCCGCGTCGTCTGTATGCTAATCGCGTGATCTAATTGTCGTCGATACCATTCGCGTCGCGCTTGACCTCATCGCACGTTGATAACGAACAGCTGGTCGGATGGAGGTAAGCGTCGTAAGCGCGAGCGGGCGGGGTGAACATACGCGTACAGTGCACGCATCGGTGCGGATAGTCACGAGAGGAGGAGGAGGAGGAGACGGAGAAAGAGGGAACGAAGCGTGAGAAAAGGTGGGAGGGAGGCAGCGATGGAGGAGGAGGAGGAGGAGGAACGGGACGGGGAAGGGAGAGAGGACGTTTAAAATGCGAAAGGCGTGCGAGCGATGACGGGGTTATCCGTGGAGGGAGTACGCAAGCAGTCGCGCGCGGCACGGCGATGACCAAACTTAGACGGCAACCGTGCTGCCTAACTGGGAAGTAGGATCCGGTCGAAAGCCGCTCCGTCCGCGTCGCACCGCGCCGCGCTCCGCTAAGAGCGCGCGCTCGCGCGCGGATGCAGGTGTACACATAAATATCGATGCTAATGCGTCGCGTGGATGCCATTCTACCGCGCTGCTTAACCGATCGCCGCGATCGCGCTTTTTTTTTTCTTCCCTCCTCGCGACTCGGCCGACCGCGGCCGTCGCTCCCGTCCGGAGCCGTCCGGTCCGTCGTCGCCACGCGAATTCGACGATAGCCGACCCGCTAACTTATTATGTCCCTATACGAGAGGGCGACGAATGCATAATATATCGATCCCTGGCGGTATAACGAAGACGCGTGCTAGAGATCTCATCGTTATCGGGTAAATGAATGGATATGTACCGCTCAAGTCCGCCTTTAATTAGAACACGTTTGTTCGGTTGGGAGAAAACACATGCAAGAGTTTTTTTTTTTACTGTGTAAATATATATCTATATAAGGTCGTTCTCAGTAAGGAAGACTAACAGACACTTTTCGCACTGAGTACTAATGTAATAGTTTTGTAAAAACTAATAGACTTGTGATTACGTATATAAAGCAAAATTTAGGGGAATGTTATGCGAAGCAAGTATCTTACAATAATGTTACTTATTTTCAAGTATGGAATATATTGAAAGAGGAATGTTTGTATTAACATCAACTGATCTTTGTATTTTCCAAGAGTTTTATTTGCGTTTTGATTGGTAAATTATTGAGTATTAAACATGAAGTAGTTAGATGCTATTTATAGATTCGAAATGATTATTACTTTAGATCAAGGTTTTTCAGCCGATATGCTGCGGCATACTGATGTGCCGCGAGAATTTTAGAGAAGGTAAAAAGAAGGGAAAAGAATTAGAAGTAAAATCATAAAAATATCATAAAAAAGCGAGTGAGGCACGAAGTATAGATATTTTAAAAATTGTGTAAATTACTAAATTATATTGAACAATAATATAATATACGGACAATGAGAGTGTTAACACAGCGCGGTAATTGATGCGCAATTTATACAATAGTTTAATAATATTCACATAATATACAGGGTGTCCCACGGGAAGGTGTTGAAACTATTCAGCTGTCATTTTCGAAGGTAGCATATTTTTCATCAATAAAATTAATTGATGCACAAACACTTTGTTAAACTTTATTTATACTCATTAAAAATTGCAGACTTTCCTCTTTTCAGTGCAATTTTTGTTTTTTCAATAACTGAATACCTTCGAAAATGACGGCTGATTAGTTTCTACACCTTCCCGTGGGACACTCTGTATATATATTAAAATTGTACAATGACTGTCGATACCAATACTTATTTGGACGTTTTGGTTTTTTCAAACCATCTTCAGCAAATTCGTAAATCATTATCGTAGATATATTGACAATAGTTGGAAGATGTTAAAATTGTGTTCCATGTGAGACCGAGGATGAGTGTCTCCCTACTGTCTGGTTGGGAATTGCCTAATTTTTGTCTCTTCCCTGCTTAGTCAAGTGACTAACTGAAGAGTAGAGTAGGCATAATTATTATTTGCAATGTAATGAATTCAAAGTATGCTTATTTTACTCATTCTCCTTCTTCATAGATCACAAATCGGTTATTCAGAGCATAGTAAGTCAAATTATAAAAGTTACGATTACAAGACGTAAAAATTTCTCGTTATTAAATTAAGTATAAGATATACAATACAACGTATATTATATTATTGTTTTTTAATTTCGAGAGTCCGATTACTACTTAAATTTTGATTTTAAATTATGTTGTATTTATTTTCTTTTTAATCAAAACAATATCGCCATTGCAATAAAATCATTTTTAAAACAATAAAATAAAAACTTTAGAACTTTACTTTTTATTTAACTATCGTATTGACGATATCTGATAAAAGATCTATGCTAAGCGCTGAAACATGTGCACTTAATGACATACATATATTAACAAATTTAGCTCGTTATTTATATCGCAAATTGAAAAACGTTGAAAAATGTTGCTTTCAATTTGCAATATAAATATCATTATTAATAACTTTCGATCATGTTTCACGAATATTCGAGCATATCAATTTGAAAAGATTGCCAATGTTATTCCCGATAAATGATCTCGTAGTTTGTGCGTGATTGTAATTCTTTTTTAGTTATTCTTTTTTGCTTTTTTTGCTCTCAATTTATATCTCTTGAAAATCGTATATCACTACAAGAGGCACGCATATGAAATGTAATAATTCATAGAAGATATAGGTGAATCAGAGCGCAGATTTGCACTTGGGTGGTCCGGTTTGAAGCCTCGACTCGGCCGTCATTCCTAAGTTTTTCTCAACGATATACATCTGTACCGGGGGAGAGAAAACAAGTTTAACTTTAACGTCGAACGATGCATTTCACAATTTCGATACAAATAAGGGATATACACGAAGCCTCTCTCTATATTTTACGTCATTCGTATCTCGCCATTCTCGGATACGTGTCGATGTTGATTCTTCGCGTTCAGAAAAACAGAGTTATCTCGTAACACTCAGGAATATCGAGGGGGAGGGGAGGCGGAGTACATAAAATATTTAAAATATGTCCAAACCGCGTGTGGGACTTTAACGTCACAAGGCGTACGCTCGCAATTGCGTACCTCGGTGCGTTTCCTCGCGAGAAATATCGCCCGGCGGCTCACAACCACTCACACGCTCAATTCCTCTTTGATTTCCTAGGAAATGTGCCTTCGTTCTCTGCAGGGATTATGTACCAGGTGCCTCAGAGTGTCATTTATTCGCCCAGTCCAGGAGTCTTGCTCGGCATAGGACAAAACGGGCAACCGGTGCAAATATCTCAAGACGGAGGTAGGTTTCTTTCCTCCGCCGCGCTGCGGAGGAACGCGAGTCACAGGGTTTTACGCAATGTCGCACGGTACGCATTACGAAATGCCCTTACGCGAGACGAGGGCACTCGGGCAGAGGATTCGCGAGAAATCAATTTTATGTCGGAGGCTACGTACCTTCGGAAATCGATCGCGCGCATTTCCCGCCTCGTCTGAATCACCGGCGACAACACCGGGTGACAATTGCGTATCAGATGCGAGATTATGACTAATAAATTTACGTAACGCAAGTCGCTCGTTGCTGTTGATCGTGTGAAGATTAATGTATAATGCGTTTCGCACGGCGTTTATCTCCGGGACGGGGTAGGAATAATAAAGAGAGGAGGAAACGCATGAGAGAGATGGATGCAACGGTAAACGAGGAATCGAGGAATACCGTCGAGCATCCGACTTATTTGTGAAAGATTAATTTTATCTTTTTTGCGTACTTTCGATTTTGCGTTACAATAAATAACTAAATATTTTAAAAAAGGTACATTTGATTTTTCCGCGCAAAGATAATCTAAGGCTAGTATTCATAGTTGGTTCTTATCTTAAAACCGTCTTAGTTAGTAAGACAAGTAATGTCTTAATATATTAATACGATTCTGCGGTTGGTTTGTCACATTTTAAGACTGTACTTTTTAAATATCTAACTTGAATGAATATTGGATCTATAGGATGAATGCACCGTCTGTGACCACCTTAAGCATTTATATAACTTTAAGAAATTTTTTTTAAATAATACATAAAAAGGAGATACTATTTACTTAAATACATTGTTTAATGTCTTAGTTTTTAATATTTAAAAAAGTTTTAAGGAAAAAAGTGAATGTACTGTATAATGAAAAAGTTAAATAGTTGCAAAAATTCTATTTTACACCACTTTTGGCCACCTATATGCTTGCTATCATTACTAGGCTGACTACTAATTACTTGATGGTTACTAGTATCGTCTGCTATACTTGTGTCATATGTAGTTATCGATAAATTACTCTACTTACTGCGTTTCGGGGATTCTTATCGTTTTTTACGAGATGACTGTGTCTTGAGTGTATTCCGTAGAAAATAATTTTTTTATAATATGAAAGAGGAAACGTGAGGTTACTTGTCACATTATTAAACAAGAGAAATAATTGCGACGCGCATGTGTCGCGATTGCTGCGCACTAGAGCCAATCAAAACTAGAAGAATCTAATAAACAGCGAAGGTAGCCAAAATAGATGAATGGCCACAAACGGTGCATTCACCTTATATAAGCACACCATCTACACTGAGAAAAATTTCTAGTTAAAAATGGACAAAGCAGAAGATTCTGATTACATCGATTAGAATTCTAATTGAGATAGCCAGATATCTAATTATGGTGACTGAATTTTTGTCGTCCATTTTCAACTGGAAATTTTTCGTAATGTATTATTTCTAATTTGTGATTATTAACTATTATTATTTGCCATTCTTGGATCCAATTTATCATCTAATTTATAATTCAATGTCAGGTTAATGAATGTTATTGAATATTGAAAATTTAGTAGCCAATAATAATTCAATGGATAAAAATCTTATATTATTTGTAGCTGCATCGAGGTTTCAATTTCCGAATTTATTGCTAATGTACGCATACATAAAAGCTGTACTAATAACATTAAAGTAACTAAAGAAAAGTTTGTCAGAATATAAATAGCAATCATCATTTTTTTTATCACTTCGATTCTACGCGAGTAGAACGAGCGGATTTTGCAAAAACATGATGTTCGTAGATAGGTCGAAAGTGGAAAAAGCGATCGGATCACAAATAAGGTAGAATCGAGCAGGAAATGTAGCACTTTTTTCTCTTCGCGATGGTGCGTTTCATTTGATTTTCCCTTACGGTTTCCTTATAGGTACAGTAGCACCGGTGGCGAACTCATCGCAATCGAACCAGCCGTTCATCACAATACCGCTGAACGTTGCGATGAGCGCGGGATTGTCCTTACCGGTGACCTCCAGGATGTCCTCCAGGTCACCCACGACGACGACTTCGACGACAACGGCGGTAGCGGCGATGTCCGGCTGTAGCGACTTGCCTTCCGACCTGAGCAAAGATCGGGAATGACGCAGGAATTTTCCGACGAGCGGAATCTCCGACGACGACGAAAGTAGCAGTTAAGCCTCTACTGCTTTCTCGCTTGCAACAGGCGGAAATTCGTCGTGCGAACTTGTCAGACGAATCGCGGAAACGGATTTTCATGCCCGCGCGGATATCTCTGGACTTGTGATACTTCCACATCCGGGATAACATCGGGGCGAGCGATCCAGGTTTTCAAACGGATTACGAGCGACTATGACCCCATCGCAATGTGGGATTCTTCGCCCCCCTTCGTGCTCTCGTTCTCGGAGACGGATGTTTGCGTACTTTTGTACGAGGGAAACTAGCTAGCATGATCACGTACTTTTCGGTTAATAGGGAATATCAACATGAATATGAAATTAAATTAATAATGGGGCAAGAGCGGAGTTTCTAAAGATGGGAAGAATAACGAACTTGTTACCCTAGAAAAGTATACATTTGCAGAATACGCTGATTATAGATCACTGAGCACAGATTTTTATCTCGAAGTATAAACCGTTGCGTGATAAACTCGTCAATTGTGACTATTCGATATATCTCTAAACGTTAATAATACTTTGAAAATGTTTACATATAAGTCATAGAAAACAAAAAACGGCCGAGACTTCATCTTTTCTTGTTATTTTAGATTTTATTTCGTAAATTTTTATACTTTTTCACTCAGAACACATATTATGGAATTATTCGAAATTAATTCCGATTGGAATTATTCCGTTTTCTCTAAAAAGCGTAATAAAAACTTAGGGAATAACTGAATAATTTTATAATATATATTCTCTGATTTCTATATGATATTTTTACATGATATTCGATTTGTATGGTACTTTTCTAAACACATACAGTCTAAGTTTTGTTTAATTAATTATTTTTAATTGATTATGAAAAAATAAAATTAGAAGTATCTGACATCCTTAAAATTTGCATAACATCACTTCAGTATTAGATGCTCGAATCGCATATATATCTGGCGAGTATCCAGATACATGGCAAATGAACAGTCCGGTCAATACGTGTGTTCAGGTATTCGCTTTGATCGTTTTGTACCGCGGAATAGAACTTCTCAATCACATGTACGTACATATATATATATATATATGTGTGTGTATGTGGAGTGTGTTGGTACTCGCCACTCTTACTAATACGCCTAATTTGAATCGCACTAAAATATTCGAATGACCGGAACAACAAATACACTGTAGACGAACCTCAGTAGCGTATTCCGAGAATGCTCACTGCCAATTATGAGACTGACATCGCATACGAATGCAATACCTATCCCGTTTAGATAGTCGCTTCGAGCGTTTTGCTTTTGGTTGTATCAAACGATCACTTTGCCGTGTAGCGCAGTTTCGAATTATTTTTATTGACAGTTGAGTTGCTCCCGACATGTAATTAAAATAAAAATAAATTATGGTGAATCATATTACAACATTAAATTAGATTCTTACACCACGTTTTTTATATAACTTCTCATTATAAATGGAAACGGACGAGCGCGACGCTTCTTCGATATTTCATCTCGATGTCTCTATAAACTTCTGTATTTTGGAAGTAAATTCATTTCGTAATTATCGCGGCATTGTTACTTATCAGTTCATACTCTGAAATACTAGAGAATGTTAATTATTATTTATCATTGCAAAACGGAAAATCATACATCTCTAAATCGACATCACATCTTGTAATGAGCAGAGGAAACCGACCGTGAAGAGTAGCAGTTCTTCTTTAATTTACAATCCTTGAATTATCGACTTGGACATCAGTTTCGCCCACGTATTGCGTGTGCTGTTGATGCGCATCAGCTCTTTTGCGCCCGTTGAAGCATTAGACTCAAGTGACAGTGTATATGCGTGGACCAAAATATATTTGAGTAAAAATAATAGTTCATGCTATAGAATTTTTCTTTTGTTTTTAGATCCAATATATTGAAAATCTATTCTTACATAGGGAATTTTCCAATATTATACTGGATGTTTGAAAATTATTGTTAAAGAAAGATATTTTAATTGTCGAAAGAACTAGCCTAAAAAGATCGGACAATTCTAACACTTTCTATAATATTTCTGATAAAATTTTTCGAATAATTTACATTTTCCATTTATTCATAGAAAAAATTTGATGCATTAAAAATAAAAGTTTTTCAAAACGGATGTATATTTTCCTACATGAATATTCGTGTTATTATATTGCGAGAATAAGTTTTCTTATTGTCAGACAAATGTTTCTCAGTTTCTGATGGACGAGTACTGTATCTTCCGCATGTCACGACTTTTATGTGGAAACGATAAATTTCATCATTTGTATCGCGACATTTCGCTAACAGCGCAGGTGCGCGATGCGGTCGTGGTAAAAAGGAGTACACGTTCGAGATAACGCGGACAACATTTATGAAATAATGGACGACAACTTTCCCCCGAGTTTTTATCGGACGACCGTTCGAACGATATCATCTCGCCGAAATGTATGTTAACGATATTATTGAAAGTATTACAGATCCGAGTATTTTGTCAATTAGTGCAAGTATATGAAGCCCATTGTCTATTCGCAAAATATGTGTGCGAATTACACCAATATGTTTTCATCGCTATTAAACTAGCCTTACTAGCCTAAGAAATCGCGATGAAAGATATCTAAGAAAAATCATGAAATCATATAATAATAATACCAATAGTGTATTATTGCAATTTCATGATTTACATTCTACGGAGCCTAAACCTACTCATATTGTTTTTAGAAAAATCTTACAAAATTATTATATAAATTGATTTGTGTGCACGCACACAAGAGCGAATTACCTAATTATGAGAAACGAGTTTAACTTCACTCTAATTAATCATATATCGAATCGCGGATATCATTTTTCGCTTAGTTTATCTCATAGACATAATAAGACTACACATTCTTATGAAGTTATCATTATCGGTTTAGAAAGAATGAGAGGGAGGTAGTTTGAATCTCTTATATCTCACATTCTTTCTCTCTCTCTCTCTCTCTCTCTCTTTTTTCTCTCTAAAGTATCTAGTTGAAGAGGCACGCTGATAGAGTTGGAGAGAGATGCTGATATAATTCAATTCTTTCTAACGGAGCACAGATGCTAAGAGCAGAAGAATGTGCAGTCTTCAATTTATAGATATGATTAGTCCTATGATGTAAGAAGGTCTTTTTACATCATGATTAGTCTATCCTTACACATAGTTTTCAATTCGATAGATCTCAATTATGATTTTTATTTTGATGTTTTTACATCAATGTGCCTCATGTAATTCATAGTGTCGTATCTCCATATATTATTAGCTTAATTTTTATTTATAATCGATTAGAGTCCGACGATTCGAGTTGTGTATAAATCAAACTGTTAATGACAAAATCATATCTTGAAACAGTAACTTACGTCTTCTATTTAATATTTCGTTTTACTGTCGACAGTAGACGTAGAAAGAATTATTTAATTACATATAATAGAAACTGTTTAATGGTTCTATCACGATATATTAAGTGTATGAAGAAGTGTATAACGGTAATTTCCGGCAAACCTACTAATGAAGTTCGATTTATCTTCGGATCGAAAGCGAATCTTTGCGAAGACAGTCGTAAATGTCATAAATGATACTCAAATCAACGGTATCTTTTACGGAAGCGATTAATCCGATTTTCAAAGATGAAAAGTGTATGGTTTATTGTTATGAAATATTGCAACTTATGGATCAGCATAAATATAGCGCGATGAAAACTCGAGATAATAAACACGGATAAATATAGCACAAGAATCGTATGATGTAATATAAATCACATACGATGTTTAGAATGCTGTAAACGGCGATCGTTATATTGCGAATGATCCGTAGTTGCAACGCAATCTTGATGAATTTGTAAATCATATGAATCTTGCAGGACAGGACGTTCGTTGCGACGTCATATATCTTATAACATGCAATATTGAGAACTTCCAAGTTGGAAGACAATTGTTATTGTTTTAGTAAAAGCTTCAACGTAATCTAGCTCACCGTACGAATAGACACGTATAGTAGCGTGGATAAAACAAAACGAAGTATTTGCAACATGATATTGTCGAGTTAAAAAAATTGAATCCTTTTAAATGAAAAAAAAGAGAGATAGTTTAAATAATAATTATTATACAATATTATTATTATTTTTTTAATTTAAATAATATAATAATATTATATCATATTAATAATGTAATATTATCATTATCTAAAATTATTATTATTTTTTTAATTTAAATAATATAATAATATTATATCATATTATTAATAATGTAATATTATCATTATCTAAAATTATTTATAATAATTATCATTTAATTCACATTTATCTCTCTATTAATTTATTAACGATAAATTCTAAATTTTTTGAAAAAAAAATGTACTTAAGCTACTCTTTACGCGAACTGTAAGATAATGTTCTTTTATTTTATTCATGCTACTCGTTTATTTATAATGGATATTTCGCGCCCGCAGTTTTACGTGTACGCTTTAGACGTGTTGGAGTCTCTCTTGTTTTAATTAATTATTATATATACATTATGTATAATACCGTAGGTTATAATACGAAATTGCTTCATCAAATCGAAAACGCTTGCGTTAAAATGTTGTAATTTTGCAATGGTGTATAAGTTAAATTCTCACGATTTAGTCATTAATTGGAGAGAAGGAAAGATAAGAGAATCATACATAAGAAATTCTCTGAGACGAGCGCGAAAAAAAATTTTGTTACAAATATGCTCGTGAGTCCAAATCAATTTATCTGGAACATCGTGTACAAAGGATGTACGAATTGCGAGCGAAGAATCCCATGAGAGACGAGCAATAACGTGTATATTACGTTTTACTTTACCTATTTTATATATAAATATTATATATATAGATAGAGATATATATATTTATATACTATAACTTTTTTATTACTTCTGTACTGAAATACTGCAGCGTGAAGAGTGTTTGTAACAGGATGCCGTAACGAATGCAAAACAAAAATATATATAAAA